CAGAGGCGGCTGTCACCCCACAAGTGGCAGCGCCCTGCGGGTATTGGCCCCGCTGAGCCCTCTTACTGGCTCAGAGTGGCTCTGCCCATGAGCCCTTGATCTGCCTCCCCATCCCCCAATCCCTGGGGGTTCTGCCTGATGGAGGAGCGAAGTGCAGTTTTCATATCAGGTGAGGGAACAGAAGAGGGGGAGCAGGGTGGGAATTGCCTCAGGGACCTGCTGGCCTGGACCTGTGTGTCTCTCAAGAGCTCACCAGAGCCCCTTTCTGCCTCCAGAGTATTTGCGGCTGTTGCTGCCCTTTACTGATAGATCAGAGAGGTCAAGCCCTTGCTCAAGGTCACACAGCCATGGTGATGGGTCCCTCGGCCAGCTCTCCAGATCCCACAATGAGTTCTTTACAGCCTTACTAAAACAAAAACACTTAAAGCTGCCTGTCTCAGAAGAATCCTCAGCTCTGAAGCACACACCTACACACCTGCACACACTCCCAACCAGCCTGGGTCCTGCAGTGTGGGGCCTCGCAGGGTGAGTCCACCCTTTCTCCTTTGCGCTCCCTCATCCTGAGAATAGGGCCAAGGGCCTCCATTCTCAGGATTCCCAGGGAAGAAGAGCAGGCCCCCAGGCTGCTCCACGCAGGTGTCTCTGCAGGCAGTTGGAGGTGAGCAGATAAAGAGATCCAATCAGGCCTGTGGCCAGTGGCTCCAGCACCGCTAACAGACCGTTCTTGTGAAAGTGGTTGCAGAATCTTGAGGTTTTGAGATGGCCACAGGAAGGCGGGAAGGAAGGGTCTCGGGTATCGCTGCTGAGCGATCTCAGGGCGGGAAGCCTCCCTCAGGGTCCGGCACTGGGCCTCAGTCTGGCAGGGTCAGGTCTGCAAGAATAGCCACTGATCACGGCTGACTGTCCCTGGTAGGGAAACGATGCCCTAGATCAAGGGCACCAGGTCCTGACAGATGTGCAGTTATAAAAGTAAGGAGCAGAAAGACCCAACACCCAAGTTGTGGCCAGGAATGCAGGTGAGGAAAGGCTTTGGGGTCAGTATTGGCTCATCAAGCCACAAGAGATCTTTTTTGTTTTTAAAGATTTATTTATTGATGCATACAGAGCTGGGGTACAGGCCAGAGGTGCAGGAGCGGTAAGAGGATTCACCAGAGACAGAGCGGGGAGCAGAACAGGCCGACTGACAAGCACACTGTGGAGGGGAGCAGCGGGCAGGCCAGGAGAGGTCTGCTGTGCCTCCAGGGCAGGCGGGGATCGAGCTCATGCTGCAGTGGCTTTAGCTTCTTAGTGCTGCGCTTTAACCTGCTGCGCCACCAGGGAGGGCCCACAAGAGACCATTTTAGGAGGGTGAAAGCCAGTGGGTTTAGAAAGGTGATGATGAAGAGAGAGGGAGAGGGGAGACAGACAGGAGCCAGAGTTTTTGAGCCCACAAGCTCCTTCCCCTAGGACAAGCTGCAGGGAAGGTCGAGTCAGCAAGGGGGTGGCTTGAAGGCGACCAGAAGCACCAAGTCCTTCAAGGCTCACACT